ACTTAATATATTAATTTTTATAAACATTTAACATAAAAAATAACATTTTTCATTAACTTAAACTGAAGAGGTTCAATCTTCCTCATTCATAAAAGAAGAAAACATGTATCTTCCCCCATTTGAATTCTATGAACCCTAGAAATCGTCTTCAAGAATTCCCCAATTGCTTCACTCAAAGCCTTAGCACGTTGTCTGGGAGGAGAAAAGCAATGGACAAAATTCTTTCAGCGACAGTGAAAATAAACGAATAGGAGAAGTTTTGTCTCAAGTATGCAGTATTTTGTCCCCTGTTATAGAAACATGTCATTTTCGTTTTAGGGTTTGTGTTTCTTTGCATGTAGTGGTCCTAGACGTTTTAGGGTTTGTGTTTCTTTGTCGTTTAGGGCTTGTGGTCCCATTTGGATTATGTTTATTTGTGTGTTTTCCTTTGTCTGACTTGTATTTAACATGTATTTCAGGTCATCACAAACTCAAAAAAATAGTTTTAGAGTTCATCATAAAGGTTATTTTATGGACACCCCTGTGAAATTGTATGTTGCTGGGTTAATTTCTACCTGTTCTATTTTGAGTTGTTGAAATTGATTCAAAAGGAGGGGTATAAAAACATTAGGTGTATTTGGTATTGGAACCCTAGGTATAGTTTTACTCATGGCCTTAAAAAGATTAAGGGCGAGGGTGATGTGTTGCAACTAATTAGGATGCTGATGGATGTGAGGTAGTGGATTTGTATGTTGAGCATAGTATAAGTGCACCTGACATTGTAGATGATGCAGAAGTAGGACATGACATAACTTCTGATGATGATGAGGTTCAATGTACTGGTGAGAAATTTGTTGATGATGAGGTGGAAGTAGACAATAATGTTGAAGTAGTTGATGATGCTGAAGTATGTGAAGTGGACAATGATGCTGAAGTGGGTGATGGTGATGGTGTTGAAGTGGATATTGATGCTGAAGTGGGTGATGGTGATGGTGCTGAAGTGGATATTGATGTTGAAATGGGTGATGGTGATGGTGTTGAAGTGGATATTGACGCTGAAGTGGGCGATGGTGTTGATGTGGGTATGGATGCTGAAGTAGGTGATTGTGTTGATGTGGATAATGATGTTGAAGTGGGTGATGATGTTGATGTGCATAATGATGTTGAAGTAGGTGATGGTGTTGATGTGCATAACGATGCTGAAGTAGGTGATGGTCATGATGACAATGAACCTGAGTTGGATAATGAAGAAGAGTTGGAGAGTGAACCTGAGTTGGATTAGACATCTGTAATTCCAACTGAAATAGTTAAACCACATGTCAATGACAATCACTTTCACCATGATAATGGTGAAGATTCTAACCAGCTGCAAACACCATCTAAGAGTGAAGATGATGAACCTATTATCACCATGATAATAAGGACAAACTTAGTATCACTCTTTTAGAAGGGATAAAGCATTACTTGACTAAGAGAATCACTAACCAGAAGGAACTCATGGTAAAGTATGTTGGTAATGTGTGTCCAAGAGTTCAGTTAGCTTTAGAGAAGAATAAGAAGTTTGCTGAGAGTTGGTCTCCAACTTGGCATAGTGATGATGACATGGATATTTTTGGTGTAACAAATGGTATAGAAACTTACTGTGTCAACATCAAAAAAGGTACATGTGCTTGTAGGAAATGAGACTTAACTAGGATTCCTTGTAGCCATGCTATAACATGTATATGGCATAACAAGAAACATCCTGAAGAATTTGTTTCTGAGTATTATAGGTATGGCATTATATGTATATTGATTTTTTTCATCTGCATGAAATGTATATTTCTGAGTCTTTTATATTTGTGCATGAAGACAACTTTCCAGAACACATACTCTCACATCATATATCCTACAAATGGCCCTCAACTATAGCATGTAGATGGTACATTGATTGTCAATCCACCTGTGATGAGAAGGGAAATTGGACGTCCGAAAAAGCTGAGGAACAAGAGGAATGATGAACCAACGAATCCACATGTTCTGCCAAGAAAGATAACAATTGTCACTTGTAAAAAATATGGATCCATGGGGCATAATAAAATAACATGTAAAGGGAAGAGAGCAGCAGATAGGGTTATACCAAAGAGAGGGAATAAGAAGCAAAAGATCACAAATGGAAAGAGCAAGGGCAATGGAAAGGCAAGGGCAAGGCTAAGAAGACACAAACTACATCACAACCCACACAAGAAGTTGGTTCATGTTCACAGGGACCACCAGCTACTCAAGATTAAGACTTATGTATTTTATGTAATGGTTCAGACATATGTATTTTGGGTTATGTAATGGTTAAGACATATGTATTTTGATTTATGTAATGGTTAAGACATAAGAATTATGTATTATGAGTTGAACAAGTTGTACTGATATTTTGAACAAGTTATAATGAATTTGGTATGTTATCTAATGACTTTGGAATATACTGATAACATTGTTACAGGTCTGATATCACATTATAAGACATTACAAACGTAATAATTATAGGTCTGATAAGCCATTACAGGTCTGATAACAGACATAAGAATTATGTATTATGAGTTGAACAAGTTGTTTGGTTGGTGAGTTGAAAAAGTTGTGTAGGATGATAACATTGTTAAGCCTGTTATAACATTACAGGTCTGTTATAACATTGGTATGTTATAACATTGGTTTATAAAATGGCTTAACATTGTCCTGATATATTAAGTCTGAAAAATGTATGTTATAAACCAACTTTATATAATGTCTGTTATTTTTTAACAAATTTATATGTCTATTAACATTGGTTTATAAACCAACTTTATATGTTTGTTAAGCCAGCTTTAACAATGTCATAACAGTGTCAAGTAAATTCAACTTAACATTACTTCCTTGTCATAACAGTACATTACAGTGTCAAACTTAACACATTACAACCAAACACTTAACAAACATATCACATTACAACCAAACACAAACAATACAAAACTAATTTATTACATTTGATACAATCAACCCAATTAACAACACTAATGGCATTCTCATGGTAAACTTGTTTATCATCTTCAAATACTTGATCTTTAACTTCAATTGATCTTCTCTGACAATGGCTTCATACAACTTAACCTTTTCGTGGTTTAATTTTTGATGCATTGAAGATATCATTTTCTTGACACGTTGAGACATTTCTTCATCATACCAGACAAAGTGATTCCATCTCTTTTATCCTTGATTCTAGACATATACATGAAGAAATTAGAGATTTTTAGGAGAATACAATAAATTCGAGATTTTCATTTAAAAAAAATACATGAAATTAACCTTGTACATCCCACATCCAAAAAAATGACGACCAGAATTTTGATCAGTCCATGTCGTCATCAATGGAGAAGGAATACCACACTTGCATTCGACGTGATTGGAGCGGGACACACTGCGATTGCTTAATGCTGAATATTCGGACATGAATGCTAAGAGTTTGGATGAAGTTTGAAACGAATTTTGGAGAAGCAATTAAGGAAGAGCACAAAACGAATTTTGGAGAAGCAATTAAGGAAGAGCACAAACGAATTTTAGAGAATGATTTACATATTTCAAATGGGAAAGAAGACATATGTGTTTTATAAACTTTTTTAATCAATTTGTTTAATTAAAAATGTTTTTTATTTTAAAAGTTAATAAAAATTAAATATATTAAATTTTTAATGACATAACAATGTTATTTCCGGTCTATGTTAACATCTACCATATCACATCAGCGTTGACCCACATAATCCAAATTGAAGAGAGGACCAAGAAAATTTCAAGATAATTTAAAGAGAGAGACTCAAAAGTTAAATTTTTTTAAAGGAGGTTTAAAAATTTTAAAAAAAACATAAATTAGGAGACTAAAATTGCATTTAAGCCAAAAAAAAATTAAAGACCAATTTGTTAAAAAATTAACTTTAAAACCACTGCTGTAATTTTACCAATTTTTAAATAATAGTTTTATGTATTAAACAAACAAGTCAGAGACACTTTTATTATTTTGATTATTAAAATGTTTTAAAATTCAAATTGGATTATTTATTGGATCACTAGGTTACGGGTCAGACCAATGAGTCATTAGTCAGACCTATATATATATATATATATATATATATATATATATATATATATATATATATATATATATATATATATATATATATATATATATATATATATATATATATATATATATATATATATATATATTCGGTAAACATAATGAGATACACCCATTTAAAGAGTTATGCGCTAGTCAATAGGTTTTGAAAATGCATTTTCGGTAAACATATTGACATTTCCGAAATAAAGTCTGTCATATAATTGACGTGTAATTCAAACACAAGTGAATTGTGATTGGAGTGCTTGCAAATTTAGAAATTTAGAGGTAGTTTTGATTTTTCAAAAAATTGGAGAAGCAATCCATACGGTGCATTATGCAATCCCCGTCCAAAAATCATTTTGAGCAGCCATTTGAGATATGCAAGTCTGCCATTGAGGGGGAAAAAACAATAATGAAAAAAAATGAATTCCAAAAATCATTTTGAGCAGCCATTTGAGATATGCAAGTCTGCCATTGGGACAAAAAAATCAATAAATGGAAAAAATGAGTAGCTCATAGCTATGAACAATATCTGTCTTACCAAAAAAAACAAAAATGGTAATACTAATAATATACATGAATATATTAAAGGATGTGAAAGATCAACCGCTCCTGTTATTCGTTCCAGAGCCTGAAAAAATAATGGCAACGCTATGTGAGAACAGAAAGGAAAATGGTAGCTGAATGCAGTCCAGCTCCAGGCCCTCAAAATTTGCAGAAGCACAAACGTATAAACTGAATATTGAGTGTTAGTCGATTCCCTTAGCCAATAAACATGACCGGCACTCATTTGTCAGCCATGGGATCAAAACCTGACATGTATAGCCCTCAATTTTTATTTGAACCAGAATGTGAAGACTTCTTATACATCTGGGTCTTGTAAGAACATACAAACTTATTAGACACTGTCCCCTGAACTGCCAGTAGAATACATCGAAGAAGTTGGTAATCCACGAATTTTAGGCAAGCCAGTTGTCTCAGGCGAACTGTGTCCCCATTCAACTGTTTCAGCTTCAAGAGGTAGGTCGTCCAAGTCCTACCAAGATGAAATACAGTCATCAGAGACCAACCATATTTTGAAATCAACATGATTATGCAGAAAAGCTCACGGATATCAAGATCATATAACTATAATTATATATCTTGGACAATATGTATGTCTACCGATCATTAGAAACTGATACAGTAAGTAACAGTAACAGGTCAACCGCACTCATGTAGAAAAGTGTTATCAAGTGCCGAACATTGAGGTCAACAGCCTATTGTTCACAGAAAATCAAGGTTTTAATGATATACTTGTACAAACAAACCAATTACCAATTTAGAACTATTATAAGTGTTTACCATGTGAGAAGCCAATGTCAGTAGCCAACAATTTGAATCGAGGAGAACCACAATTGTCTTCTAAATAAAATAGTATTAATTCCATAAAATATAGATGAGCAGCCTAAGAGTGTGTTTAGTTGTAAGAGAAAAGTGTATGTTTGGTTGTAAGAAGAAAGTAAGTGAGAACGGGAAAGATGCAAGAAAAAGTGGAGAGAATGAAATTGAAAATCGAGTACATGCATTGTTTGAAAAAAGAGAAAAAAGAAACAAATAGACTATATAAAAGAGAAAAAATAATTGTGTTTTACTCTCTCTCCTTGATTGCTTGGAAAGATCTCATAAGAGAGAAATACTGTTACTTTTTAAAAAGACAAATATCATTGAGTTAAAGCAGAGAGTTGATATTTTGTACTATATAAATCACATTTCATCAAATCAGATCCATCAAATTAATAATCAATTAAAAATTTAATTTTAAGTATTAGAACAAATTAATTAGATTAGTTACATAAAATTTAATTAATTAAAAGTAATAATTTAATTGTATCAAACTGATAATCTAATTCATTTTAAAATAATCAATAAACTATGTTGGTTTTAACTAAGGGATATTTTTGTCGTTTTCAAAAATAATAACACTTCCCTTGCTTCTGTCTTTGTCTATTTCTTTGCACTTTCTCTCCATAAGTAGAGAGAAATGTAAAATATATGGGCTCCATTGTTTTTTTACACTCTTCCCTACTCCCAAAAAATCAAGAGAAATTACTAATCTCTTTTCAACTTCCCTCTTCCTCGCACTTTCCAATTTCTAGTCATACCAATCACACACTATAGGAGAGCAACTATAAACTTTTAATGGGATAGACTTGTGCCAAGTATTATCAATTGAATGAATAACACCTCAACTACTAGTTTTCAAATAGCTTTGTGACCATCTTGAAGAGAGTAACGAACGACCTCCACGCCCCTCCATTCATGACTGCCAATCCCATACACCCCCCTCAACTAGCATTAAAAGTTTTTAAAATCTGTGGGCCCCATTGATTTTTACTCTCTTCCCTACTTCTCTCCTAACAAATCAAAAGAAATTACCAATCTCTCTTCAACTTCCCTCTCACCTCTTTCTCTCTTTCCAATTTCTACTCTATCAATCACGCCCCTAATGGAGAGCTTTGATGCAATAGTTGGTGTTCGCCATGTGATCCAAAGGTCACAGGTCTGAGTCATGGATTCACCTTCTTACAAATATAAGGCTACAAATTATAAAACCACACAACTAGGCCGAGCCTTTCTAGGACCTAGCAATAGCTTTCTAACACCCCTTTTCTCTCTATAGGTGTTGGTCTAAGGTGAGCAGATCAAAGTTATTAGCAAATATCATGAGCTCTCCTCAGAAAACCACGGACAAAAATTTTAGAGATCCAAACTCTCATTTAAAATAACACAGAACTTCAGTTAGAAAATGCAAACTGAAGCGTTAAAAGAATCTCACTCTAAAAGCTTGTTGATAAGCTCGGAGCAGTTCTCGACAGCGCTTTCTTTTAACGGATATCTCATTAGGCTCTTGCAACATCTCTTCAAATAGATCATCTCTGGGTTTTAAACGACATAAAGAGCAAAATTGGCAACCAAAATCAGACAAATTATATCAACAGCAAAATAAATCTGAATCTCCATGCTACAGCCATGTTACCTGTATAGATTTGCAATGAAGACATTGTGCAGCTCTCTCTTCGTGTTATTTACCTAGTTATAGAATGCATGGAAATTCAGGTATACTCAAAAACACTCAAGTAGCATTGGAAATATACTAAACTGCAAGGAATGCTATAAGAATTTTCAGGAAATATCAACATATTTTAGAGGTCTCTTAAGACTTGTTTGCTTCCATCTTTCATGTATTTCCTGACCTGTTTTACTTATTTAACAAGGATCAGCCTATCAGGAATCTAGTAATAATATAAACAAGGATAAGGATTAGGGCATTGTCTTTTGTAAAACTATCACACACCATATTATCAAATATTATGGGCCCATTTGTTTCAGCTTTAAAAAATAGATTTTTTTGTATTTTCAAAATTGATATTTATAAAAAAGTTTTTTAGATTATTAAAAGTTTTTTTAAACTTGTTTTTATAAATTGAAAGACTAATTTTGACATCCTATAACATAAATATGCATTATTGAAGATTAAAACATAGTCAAAATCACAACTTTTTCAAAAATGATATTTATGAAAACTTATTTGAAATATCTTCAAATTTAAGTGATTTTTTGAAATTTTGATATTGAAAAAAAGTTATAACAAAAAAACGAAATACCTAAAATAACATTTTAAGAATAAATAATCAAACCAATTTTTCATTTGAGCCTTTTTTTTTTAAACCAAGATCAAGTAGACAAATTGCAACTATTGATATTGCTTCAATGCACTTCGTGAGCAAAATCAACGAGTGGATTAGCACGCAATATGCATAACATTTAGTTGATAGTCATTAAATCAGATTGGAAAATAGATTCGGTACATGGGAACATAAGATTTTTATATACCACCACCTAACATACCATTTGATTTTGAAAGCATCATACACTTGCTCTAAACTTATCACTGAAATATTTATTAAAAATGCAAAGTCTAAAAGAAGAGAAGATACCAAGAAGTGCATAATCGCCTTAGGGATAAGATCCTCAACATTTTTTCTGACAATCTCGTAATATGACCTCAAAAGCAACTTTGTTACTGTAATTTCAACAGCTAGTGTCTCTGAACTTCTCTCAGATGGCCTCAAGACAGAGGGGGGCTACAAAACCCAAAGCACATTAAATACACATGAAGACGTGTGCACTCGCACACACACTCATAAACAAATTTTCGATAAATGAATGCTTCAATTTCAAGTTTAACATAGTATATACACCTCTCTCAAATGAATTGTAGAAGATGGATGCACACTCTCAACTGGATCATAATGAGGTTTACTATTTGTATTCTCCCTCACAGACATACGGTTATCACCTCCACCAAAAATAGATGAGATCCCCCAAGTAGATCCACCAGCGGCTCCTGACGGAAACAAACACCAAGCGACCAAAAACATCAAAGACGGTTGATTGAACAAAACAAAATAAAGGTGCCAAATTAAATGCACAACAAAGCACATGCCTCTGAAAACTCAAATATTAAAATAAAATAAAAAACAACTTACCTGAATGCACTACTTTATCAGTATCTGATGCAGCACGCACACCCTGTTTTTTTCCATATCATTAGTATCAACAAACTAGAACAAGATAATATAGTATCCCTCATCTTGCCGTGAAATAACGTATGTAAAACCTCCAGTCAACAAATTAGGATAAAATTACATGATCTGCCATTCCTCCATTGGCATGTCTTGCAAGAATAGCTAGAGACTTTCCACTTCTTTCAGAAGCTAATCCTTTATCAGAATCCAAAGCATCCTATTAGAAATTAACAAGAGAATTTCAAACCAAAAATAAGAAAGCACAGATTAGTTTTCACAGCTAGTATGAAAAACAATGTAAAGAGCCCACAAAATGTATGTATACCTTCAATTTGGAAACTGGCAGGGAAACTGTATAAGACTTAGTCTGTTGAACTGCAGCTTCTAATGCTTTACTTCCACCAATAAAATTTGGGTGGGAAGTGTTTATGTAATCCATCTGCAAAACGCAGTAATTTAACTGACATTGACGATAAGGAATAGAAGTTTCACTTTAATAGACAGACCATCACCTTAATAAGCTAATCTTATATGTGGCATGATAACGGGTTTCTACTAGAATTCGAAAAAATGTCAATATTCTTTCATATAGTCGGATTCTAGATGAAGAAAGGAGAAAACTCTGAGAGTTTGAATATTACTAATAATAGTTTGAGATTAACTTGATACAAAAGAATAAACGCCAATCTTTATTTATAGGGATGCATAGGCTCAATCTTAACTAAAGAGAGAAATTAGGAAACTGATCATAAAATACGTAATATAAAAATAAACTTAGAAAATAGTCTAAGATACTCTAATCATCTAAGATAGTAAATAAGATATTTTCTAATGTTCTAATTCTTACCAAGCTTTAACTTGTTATAGATAAACCCTTTGAAATAGAAAATATAACACCTGACATAATTAGACCTAGAAAAGATATATTGGATAAACCAATGAAGAACTCCAGAACAATCAACCAATAAAATTCGTGCCGAAGAACAGACCACCTAAAAACAACCAATTGAAGAAACCACTGGTGACTTTCATAAACATTAGACAAACCAAAGCGATATAATACTAAGCCAGCGGTAACAGCAGCTGAAATCCAAAGTAGAAGATGTCACATCTTCAAACAATACCAAAAAGGATGTAAGGCCAATGCAACCCATAGCTGAAGCTCCAGCTAGGTGTAAAATCTTCAAACCAAACTGAAATAATATTGAATCAGCGCTAGCCGTGGGTGAAATCCTTAGGAAAAATTAAATTTGATGATGGTTTCATTGGTGTCACAACTTTGAACCAGATTGGAATGATAAATTGAGGTCTGGAAACAGCAGCAGAAACAGATATGTAGTGCAGCAAACGACATCAGCTCTAAAGAAGCAGCTCGACTATAACAACCAGAGGGTATGAATTGAGTGTCTGAATACTAACATGAAAAGCGTGTGTATATTTACATAACACAAGTAAAATTTCATCATACCTCCATTTCTATGATGTGTGTGATCATAGTCTCTGAGGGTTCAAGGCCTTCTCGTAAAAAGTTCCCAATAACTTCATCCATGTGTTTTCTCAAGAAAGGGAATCGCTGCAGTTCAGTCACCATACAGCGATGGCTGATCTGAAAAGAAGATATTTTAATCTGGCACACATTTGTGTGGAACTGAAACTGAAGTGAGGCAGAAGAAATGGCAAGCCATAAATCCTTACCTTCATTAACTCGTCATATATAAACCTGGCACATTGAAGACTTGGATCCAATAGCCGAGATATCTGCCTTCGCACAAGGACTTCAAATGGAACCTAGTTAGAGGGAAATAATAGATAAGTATGTTCTTTTACTTTTAATACCAAAGTATGTTCTGCGATTGGGGAAAAAATTACTCCATCAATGATTCAATAATAGGATAAGTATGTCTTAATTGAAGAAAACGGAAAATTATATGTGATGGCAACAAGACCTACATCTGGAACAAACAGTGCGGCTTTAGGTCCAGTTGCATTCTGTATAGCGGTACGAATATCATCATCAGTCAAGTCTTCACACGGATCCACTTCCTATTAGATACATTAAATGACATTAAATAATAGAACTTACGAGCTTGCTCTGAAGAAATAAAGAGATCAACACAATAGTCATTGGATCTCATAGAGTTCAACATAACTTTATTTCCTAAATAAATACATGCTAATATAAAATTATGATTTTTTTTTCTGTTGTAGCCGTTCAATTTGATACCAATTTGTATGCAACGTGGTTTACTTGAACAGTAAAAACAAGGGAAATTAAGCATTTAGTTCAACATTTGCAAAATCAAGATGGTCATTTAATTTGAAAACAAATATACTGACTAAAAAAAATACAGTGGATTCATAATACTGACATCATCATTGACTTTAGCAATAATCAAATTGTATATTGTAAATAATAGATCCCATTAGTTTTATTTTATCTTTAAAAAGTATTATTTTATTTTTAACTTATTTTATTTTAGTTGTGTCTATGCCTGTTAAGCAAAGTCTAAATTTTTCTCTGTTTAAACAAATGAACTTCTCAACAACAGTCACCGGAATGCTGCCGCTGCTTCCGGAGAAGTATCCACATCCATCACCGCTGCTGAAAAGTATCAACTATCGCCAATACTAACACGCACCCTACCATAAGAACCGGAGGCCGTCAATCTATCATGCCAGAAACTATACCGTCACAACACAAACATCCACACGCGTCAAACCTAACTCAACCTTACGAAACCAACTTGTAACAGGAGGATTGCCACGAGTTAAAACATATGTCCATACCATATATTGTCCGATATGGGACTCATGACTCACAACAGAACTATTGTATTGTAACATAACTTTAAAGTATTATATTATAAAACCTTTTTCTACATGCTATCACGAGCTCCCGTTTTGGAAGTATAACTTCTGCATAAGCCCTAACCGTCAGTGTATTTTTCGGTATTAGTTACACATTTTCTTCAGTTAAACTTGTTTAGTTTCTTATTGAATCTTTTCTTCTCCGCAACAAACTTTTGCCATGTTAGCATCCACATAACCTTTGTCAGAACTCACATGTTTAAACCATCATAAACCATATATTTGTGTAAACAACCATGCCAACCCCATCGTCTAAAAAAACCAAACAAGAAGTTAAAAAAGAAAAGAACCACCACTAGACGCCCCATACGCGCCTGACACGTCAACCACAAGCATTGTCCTCCCTTGATCGGGTTTTTTGCTATTTTCTCACAGATTGTAGATCGGATTATCCATTTTCCATTTGTGTGGTCAAAATTACATTTTGAAGATTGTAGATCGGATTATCCATTTTCCATTTGTGTGGTCAAAATTACATTTTGAAGATACTCACTTTTGAATTTTTTGGGCCGACTCTCATTTTTTCATGGATATTAACGCATTTGGGTATTTTACACTATTTTTGTGCGCACTCCTATAGCTTCTTAGCATCAAGGACAGAGGTGTTGTAGCCTTTTTATTGCTGTTTGTTTGGTATTGGACTTGTTCCCATTTCAAGTATGATCCATGGGCAAGACATTTGCAAGTTGTAGATCGGGTCTTTTTATTCAAACGAAGTGGAAATCTTGTTTCTTGGAGAAACAAAAAGCAAAGTGTAATGGCTCGATCAAGAGCTAAAGCAGAATTTAGAGTTATAGCACAAGAAAGTTGTGAACTATTCTGAACGAAGCATGTGCTAGAAGATTTGAAGACACATTGTGAAAATCCTATGAAGTTGTTTTGTGACAACAAATCAGTCATTAGTATTGCACATAATAATCCTATTAACAAGACAAAACAAAAGACATTGACATTGATCGACATTTCATTAAAGAGAAGTTGAATAGTGGATCGATAACTACCACCTACATTCCTTGTAGGTAAAAGTTGGCAGATGTGTCAACAAATGATTTTCCAACCAAAAAGTTCAATCAACTTGCACGCATAGAACGATTGACATACACTCATCAACTTGAGGGGGAGCATTGTAAATAATAAGCAGTTAATTTTAGTTCATCTTTAATTTATTTTATTTTATCTTTAATTAGTTTTATCTTATTGAATGGGCCCGTTATGCAAAGCCCAATAGATATAAATTTTTCTCAATATAAACAAATTAACTATTGTATTGTAACATAATTTTGAAATAATATATTATTAAACCGTTTTCTACATATATGAATGAAGCAAGAATAAATAGCAGAAAACCTGTTAATCGGCATCTAAATTAAATAGGATAAATTGATGTGATACACACCAACTACAACCAAATAGATATAGACCTGGTGGGTCGTTATTTTGCTGATAAATAACACAGGTTAAAAGCGTACTTATAACTATACCCACTTGCTGATAAATAACACAAATACAATTATATATATATATATATATATATATATATATATATATATATATATATATATATATATATATATATATATATATATATATATATATATATATATATATATATATATATATATATATATATATATATATATATAAAAGTCAAAATTTTCATACCTCTAAACTCCTCACAAATATGGATTGAAAAATGTAATTAATCCGTGCTCCACCTGATAGCTCGGATGTAGACATCGCCTCATTCTTCCCCTCTACCATGGAGGAGAAAGCTTTTTTCAACCAAAAAAAAAAAATAGTATTACTTTGGGAGATAATTAATTAGTTATATGTGGAAAATCAATTCACGAATAATCAGAAATGGAATGATTTTACAAATGTAAGAGCTGAAGAAGAGATAAGAAATCTTATGGTGGAGATAGTTAAGTACCGTCACAATATTTTGAAAGAATATTAAGGATAAGTGCGCCCTGCCCAGCCTGCAAGATATGAAGAATCATGTATAGATAAACTAAGGTATATGGCCAGTCAAAGCACAAAATGTGTTGCTTTATATTACAAGGAGAATCATCATACAGTATTGTTTACAAATGTCATAGAGACACATCAAAATATTAACACATGCCTTGGACTCTGTGATATCTCCATAGCTTGCATGTTCCTTTGCAAGAGTGACTAGTGAAGTGCTTATACGTGCTTTCAGCCCTGGTAGCACAGCCTTGATATGTTGTGCAAGAATCTGCAAGAGATGGACAGGCAAATATGTATATAAATTTGAAACTCCCAAGTCCAGGAATTGGAATCTTCTAAGACTTTAAAGTGGTATGATCTTTTGGGTAATTTTAGGAATTTAATTCTTTAGTTGTATGAGTAAGCTGAAGGTGTAGTTAAGGCCGGCATTTAAGAAATTAAAATAAATAACACAAACTAATTTACACTTTCAACATTGCAAAGCCTACCTTGTTCAATTTCTTTGCCAATTGAGGAACACCGCAACTATCAGCTAGACCACTATATATCTTGAATAGCACAGAAGAAATCAGAATAAAGAAGTGACATGTATGAATATTACAAACTAGTATGCAATTACACTTCCTTACAGGATGACTGCGGAAAAACTTCTCTTCAGCAGCAAGAGCATCCTTTATACTCCGATTCATCATAATATCCTAATTTGACATGAAAACAAACAACGAAATTTTAGTATTACATGTTGACCTAGACACTAATCAATCAATTTATAGAAGTGCATATTTGTTTGGGATTATAACATATTGCCCTCATGTGCATGCACTCAATATTTAATAACAACCAATTCTTAACAGATAGATGCACATGCAAAGGCTAAATGTAGCAAGCCAGAAACTGTCTGCAATTCATTACAGCAGGATGGAATAGAAGTAGAACATGTTACCTCCTGGCTCCGATTCACAACACCAACATAACCAAGTCGGAGGGGAATAATGTCTCCCTTTAACAGATTTCGAGCATCAGTGCCTCTGTCCATGATGTCCAACTACAACAGTCCAAGCAATTTTGTTCCTAAACTCGTCAGAACAAGGAAACGGCATAACAAAATTCATAATTAGATTTTCATATCAGGAGAGATATACTAAACCTTGGTTATAACACCTATCGTTCTATGACCTGCAACAAAGGGGAAAGGAACATCTAAAAACCAACGACATAGATTTTGAAAAGATTAAATTGATTTGGGGATATAAAAAGGGCACCATCAGGATCAGCATTTCCAGCCATTTGAAGAGCATCGGAATTAGCCATATCTGAATTAGCAGGAGTAACAGCAAGAATGAGACAAGTGGGAACTTTGATATAGGACATGATCATGGTTCTAATTCGAGCTTCAATATCGGAAGGTTGATCACCAACAGGAACCTTGGTAATACCAGGGAGATCCACAAGGGTGATATCAAGAACATTAGGAGAAAAAATCTTGAGACGAATCTGTTTATCAGAAACACCTTTGTTCCCTCCAGCTTCTCTATCAGTTTCAGCCTAAAAATAATATTACATGATTATCAACATCATATTCAATTCAATTCAATTCAACTCAACTCAACTAGTAGTTTTTTGAAATCGGAAATGATGAAACCTGAATTTCAGCGCGGACTTGGGAGAAATCATGGAAGGTACGGCCAGGTAAATGAAGAAACTCAGCGGATTCAGGTTGGGAGGATTGAATGTGAACGAGTTGGAGAACAAGAGGTCTTCTAGTGCAGATTTCGTTACCACGGGGGAGGAAGTCGCGGCCGACGAGAGCTTCGAGGACGCTAGACTTGCCGCTACTCTGGCTGCCGACAACGGCAACCTGAGGGAGGTCGATGGTGGATTGGCTTCCGAGACGGCTGAAGATGTCTTGAAGTTTGTTGACTAGTGAGATTACAGAGGATCCGAGCGGGGCGCCGCCGTCGGCCACCGCCATAACTTAATTAGGGTTTTAGCGGCGATGGGAATGGTAATAAGCAGTCGCGTTAGCTAAATATCAGCTCAACTCACTTCGTGTGATTCGCGGTTTTCAACTACTTTCAGTTCTTTCGTATCAGGTTTTTTTGAATGAGAAGAGGAGAAAAGTTAAGCAGGTTTAGGGACTTCTGTGTTTTGTAAAAATAAAATAAAAACAATTAGGACTTCAATGAAAATCCTATAATTTAGAAGTGACATAAAATCTCGCTTGTCCACGTTGATAAATTTAGGCAATGTTAAACCTATATCATTCATTCATCACAATAACACATGATTAACAGGTTGGATTCTAGGTGTCCGAAAAAATAGGTTGAATTCATTTCATCCATTTGACCATTTAAATGGCTAGAGAAGATTTCATTTTTTATTTTGTTCAATTTATGGGTTCAACTCAAAATTATTAAATTCATTTGATAAAAAAAAACATCCAAACAATTGTAAAAATTTTGTAGATATTTTGTGAAAATTGAAATGTGGTTTAGGGGATCATAAAAGTTTTTCAGCATTTTTCATTTTAATATTGTAACTAGGACTATTTGGTTTCGGTTAAAAAATATTGAAATTATAAAATAAATAAAAAATTAATAAATACTAACAAAGTTTGAGTTGATTTGTTCCTCCTTTAACTATTTTTGTACTATAGGTTTAATGTTTTACAAATTATAGATTGTTATGGCTCTTCTTTAACTACTTTGCTTCATTAATTCTCTATCTTGACAATATAATAAAGGTGATAAAAAAAATAGATGAGATCAAATTCTGAATAGGAGTGTGCATGAATTATAAACTAAATCATATATGGTTTGATTTGGATCTTAAAATTATTTATATAAAATCGATTTATTTTTTTAAAACCGGTTTATAAGTGAATTGGTTCGGTTTCAAATTGGTTTTTAAAAAAAAATATTTTTTTTAAAAACCAGTTTCTCTTAAAATCGGTTTTTTATTTTCTTTAAAGAAATCAGTTTTAAAACCAATTTTATAAAAAAAATCAGTTTTAAAACCAATTTTTTAAAAAAATCAATTTTATTACAAACTATCAAATAATTGATAAACCACCTGAAACATTTTAATTATATATTTTGTATTAAGAAATGAAAATGTTCAAACACGAGTATTTGACACTACAGAAAAATTGATTATTATATATATATATATATATATATATATATATATATATATATATATATATATATATATATATATATATATATATATATATATATATATATATATATATATATATATATATATATATATATATATATATATATATATATATATATATATATATATATATATATATATATATATATATATATATATATATATATATATATATATATATATATATATATATATATATATATAATTAAACATGAACAATTATGGTATATTAAATATTTTGAGTTTTACTGAACATATAAAAAGATGAAAAATATGAATATTCAAGAAATGTTGGTTTCAAACTTTTTAACAAGAGAAAGTAACTAAAAAAAACTATCTAATGATTAACATAAAATTGAAGACAGGTAGAAATTTTATTAAAATAAAACAGTATTTTCTTTAGCTTTTTCTTCATATTCATGTGATAACAACTTGAAAATTTTATTTGTAGAAAAGGGTAATTCATTTGTTCAGATAAGAAACAATTTTTTTTCTTAATTATTCTTAGATTAATATATATTCATATCATAAACATATACATATGTATCAGTGAGATGTTATTTGCTATTTATGCAGTAATTCTGAAATGTGAAAGAAACATTGTTAGTATTAATAATTTCTTTTCATTTCATTGATTTGCTACTTGTGCAGCACAATGTTTTAGATAACATAATAAAAGAATAGTTTATAGAAATCAGAAATTAATTAAAGTGCACTGCTGAGTCTGATATCAAATAGTGACTAAGAAGAAAAAATACAAAAAAAAAACATGCAAAAGGGATATAAGAAGAAAAGAAATTTATCTTACTTTTTAATTCAAATAACATGTTTAATTCAAAGAATGATGAAGAAGAAAGAGATGGATAAAAATTGAATTTTGAGGATTAGAATTTTTGAAATTTGTGTTGATCTTGATTTTCCCAAACTATTATGCTTTTGTTTCTAAAGCTTATTGAAAAATGGTTACCGAATCTCAAACCGGTTTGAAATAAATGGTTATCGGATTTTTTTTAATTTGATAAATGGGCCACCAAATTTAAAATCTAAATTTGGTTTGGATTTTAAAATTTGGATTAATTTGGATAGGAATTTGGTTTATGGTTATTGGTTATTTTGCACACCCCTAATTGTGAATGACATGGGAGCAAGCTCGCCATGATTCCTTGCATGATAAAAGATGATTCACCAAACACGTTTTATCAATCAGCGGGATTATCCTTGTCATAACTTGATATGTTCAAATTTCGTCAATGGACTAACCATATCTCCTACGTTGAAGGGATGAGTCATTCAGCACGCTTCCTAATGGGTTAGAGTCAGTTGCACATTCCTCCCAAGTTCAAAATGCCTTAATTCTCAAAGTACAAAGGCCTCAGATGCCCGAACATTCATCTGAAGATGTATTGTCGCAAGATGGTTGCGTATGCCAGTGATGAAAAGCTAATGATTCATTGCTTTCAAGACAACTTGTCTGGGGCATCCCTCGAATGGTATATGCAGTTGGAGCGTAACAGTGTACGCACTTGGGCTGAGCTAGCTGATGCATTTGTCAAATAGTACAAGTACAACATCGACCTTGCTCCGAATCATACCCATTTCAGTATGACTCAGAAGGACAACGAATCTTTCAAGGAGTATGCACAACGATGGAGAGAGCTAGCTGTAAGGGTGCATCCACCACTTGTTAATCATGAACTGATTAACATTTTTATGGGAACCTTGCAAGGCCAGTACTACGAGAAGCTGATCGGTAGTGTTTTTGCTGGATTCTCTGACTTGGAGATTGTCGGTGAGAGAATTGAAGAAGGGTTGAAAGATCCAAGGAGTTTCTAGCAGCCAGGTTGGTGCCGAGAAGCCTTTCAATGGATACAAGAAGAAAGAGGGCGAAATAAATGTCGTCTTTGTGCAGAAAGAGCAAGTTCCTCAACAAGCTCCCGCTCATATGCCTTACCAAATCCCCTACTACCCGTATCTGTATGTTGTTGTTGCGCAATATGCTTCAATGCCTTATCCTCTAGTTGTTCAAGCAGCTTATGCTCATATGCCTCAACAGCAGGCTCCTCCGCAACAAGCCTACAGCCAGCAAGGATATCAGTATCCTCCTCAGAAACAACAACAACAAGGTGCTCGCTAACAGCGTTAGCAGAGAATATGGAGGCCAGACAGAGTTTTTGATCGTTTACCAATGTCGTATGCTAAAATATTTGCTCAGTTGATGGAGAAAAAGGTTGTTGTTCCAAGAGATTTGGCTCCCCTAACTGTCATTCCTGTCGACTACGATGCAAATGCTCATTGTGAGTTTCATAAGGGTGCTCCAAGTCACACCATTGAGGACTGCAGGGCTTTCAAACACAAAATTCGAGACATGTTTGACTGAGATATTATCAACTTTAATGGGAAGTCTCCAAAATGTCATCAACAATCCTATGCCACCGTCCAACTAGCGCCAGCATCAAGTCAAATCAAATCCAGTCAAGTTCAATTTTTTGAAGAATGCAGTCATGTTGCCATCCATCTTTTGCATTCTTGTATTTTGTCTTTGTTCGTTTAATTATTGTATGCTCTAAACATTGTCATTCGTATTTGGTTTTCATTAATGTATTGTTTATGCATGTTTTGAATTAATTATGTCGTATTCACTCATTATTTTCACATATCACAAGCACTGACACATTTATTCACTTCACTCTATCAACTGTTGTTTAGCATGATTTGAGGGAGGATGATGAAAACGAAATACTCATATTTGCATATTGTATGCTTTCAGACAGAATCTCGTCAATGATGTACATGCATTGTTTCAATCCCTAAACGCTGGAGATATAAGGAGTTAATCCCTAGTAAACCACTTCGAGCCTAGAAGTAGCAGTTTCCTTCGGATATTCAAACTTTTACACTCAACCTGGGGTAGAGTAGTGTTCAGTTAATCTAACCTCGCACTCGATCAACAAAGTAAAAATCCAAAGACATGATGGTTGTTCATCAAAGACCCATGACATGGCAGTCACCATCCTCCAACAACTTTGGGCCAATACTAAACAATTTTTTCAAACCCAATTAAATAGTTCTCATTACGCTTAATCAATTTATTATACTTTTCAATTAAATAACGGAAAATGAATTCTTGAAGTCTAGCACTTCTTGGGTTCTTGAATGGCATTATTGAGGCGTACGCCTTGAACAGTGTCGTTCGACTTTGCGTTTCTAAAATATGTTCTTTAATTATTTAGACAAAGAAATGTCGTTGGGGTCTAGCACTCCACATGATACTTTTGTTGTCTTTTCAAACAATATTTCGTAATTTAATCAAATGAAAAAGGTGTTGTTGGGATCTAACATCCAAATAACACCCCGATTAATTAGTTGTGAGGCAGATGTCTCATTTATCAAATAATCGTCATTTCTCCTAAATACTTAACGAACCTGATCTCGTATTCTTGCCTTCATACAAATAAACTCTTTGCATGCCCTAATTTCAATTTGAATTCGTAACTAAAGTTTTTTCGATTAAAAATTTGAAAGAAGAAGGTTCTTGGAATCTAGCATTCCTTGGATTTTCGAGTGAATAATTATCGAGGCACACTCTTTGGATTGTTATTCATTCAACCTTTTGACTTTTTACAAATTAAATCATTTTCAAACACCCTTTGTAAGTCGAGTGTTGGCCCGCATTCGCTATCAACCTACCGCACACGCTTTCACATTTCACTGTGGCTTCGTTATTAAGAGCACCCTCAGGGACTAATATCGTTTCTCACGACTTAACCCTTGACTCGTCGTCAAGCCGGATCC